TCCCTCCCTCTCCTGGGGGCAGGCAGGCGGACCCCAATAGTGCTCCTCACTTCTATCAGCTCCCCAGGGGCAGTGTCGTTGTGGAGACAGGAGATGCGACGCGAAGCGCGCCCCCTCCTGGAGACAGTGCCGTGGCGACAATGGGGGGTGCTGCAGAGGGCGCGCCCGCGCTCGGAGACGTTCCTCACAATTCTGACAGTCAAGAAGATGTATCCGAAAGTGCGGCCTTCAGCTGCAATAGGAACGCGCCCCCTCCTGGAGGCGCTGCCGTGGCGACGACTGGGGTTGCTGCAGAGGGCGCGCCCGCGCTCGGAGACGTTCTTCACAATTTTGTCAGTCAAGAAGATGTACCCGAAAGTGCGGCCTTCAGCTGCAAAAGGAACGCGCCCCTTCCTGGAGACAGCGTCGCGGCGATAGTTGGCAGCGCTGCAGAGTGCGCGCCCGCGTTCGGAGACGTTCCTCGCAAAATAGACAGCCAGGAGCTTGTGCCCGAAAGTGCGGCCTTCAGCTGCAACAGCCTCTGGGGGAGTTTATGACCGAACGCGCGGCCGTCTGCCGCGGCGTGCCAGTCCCTCCCCCTCCTCGTCATAATTTGGCGGATCGTCCTCCTTGCTGCTCCTCGCCCCTATCAGCGTCATTGGGGCAGTGTCGGTGTGGGGGCTGCAGATGCGACCCGAAGCGCGCCCCCTCCTGGAAATATTGCCACGGAGACACTTGGGGGCGCTGCCGAGGACGCGCCCGCGCTCGGGGACGTTCCTCCAGGGGGCGCGCTCGCGCTCGGATGCGTTCCCCACAATTCAGACAGTCACGAGTTTGTTTCCGAAAGTGCAGCCTTCAGCTGCAACGGTCCTCTGGGGGCGCCACAGACCGAGAGCGTGGTTGACAGCCACCGCGTATCTACTTCTCCTTCCCCTGGAGACCGGCAGGCGGGCCCCCGTCGTGCCCCGTCGCCCCCGTCGGCGCCCCTGGGGCAGGTTCGCGGAGGAACCCAGAAATACCGTCGAAAGCGCGCTCCCTCCTGGAGACAGTGTCGCGGCGATAACTGGTGGTGCTGCTGAGGGCGCGCCCGCGCTCGGAGACGTTCCTCCCCATTCAGACACTCAGGAATTTGTGTCTGGAAGTGCGGCCTTCAAATCCTCAGGGGGAGCTCGGGGCTGATCGCGTGGTCGTTTGCCGCAGCGCGTCGGTTCCCCCCCTCCCGGAGACCGGCAGGCGGGCCACCGTACTGCCCCTCGCTCCTATCAGCGCCCCTGGGGCAGGTTTGCGGAGGAGGCCGGAAATGCGCTCGAAAGCGCGCCCCCTCTTGGAGGCAGTATCGCGGCGATGGTTGGGTGCCGGGGGTGGTGCAGAGGGCGCGCCCGCGCTCGGAGACGTTCCTCGCGATTGTGACAGTCGGGATTTTGTTTCCGAAATTGCAGCCTTCAGCTGCAGCGGTTCTCTGGTAGGGCGACAAACCAACCGAGCGCGTGGTCGTCGGCCGCAGCGCGTCGGCCCCCGCCCTTCCTGGAGACCGGCAGGCGGGCCCCCGTTGTACTCCTCGCTCCTATCAGCGTCCCTGGCCCAGGGGCAGCTTCGCGGATGAGGCCGGAAATGCGCGCGAACGCGCGCCCCCTCCTGGAGACAGTATCGCGGCGATGGGGGGCACTTCAGGGCGCGCGCCCGCGCTCGGAGACGGTCCTCGCAACATTTAGGCTCGGGAGCTTGTATTTGGGAATGCAGCCCCATAGCTGCAGCAGTCCCGGGAGAGCTTCAGACTGATCGATCAGGTGGTCGTCGCCCGCGGCGCGTCGGTCCGCCCCCCTCCTGGGCGCGGGCGGACTGGCGCCCCCGCGTCTCCTCGCTCCTGTCAGCCTCCGGGGAGCAGAGTCTTAGTGAAGGCCGAAAATGCGCCCCCTCTTGGAGACAGTGCCGCGGCGACATTTCGGACTGCTGCAAATGGCGCGTCCGAGATCGGATGCCCTCCGCGCGACCCAGGGCGCTCGCGACCGGATGGCGCGCCTGACTCCTGGCTGCGCGCGCGGGCTTCAGACGGGCGTGTCTTCGCGATCGGCGCAGACGCTCCGGCCGACGCCTCCGAAGCCCCCGCCCCCGTGGCTGACGGCTATTATGGAACCCGCTACCTGGAATGTCTGGGGCTGTCCTTGCAACCAGTCGACGTCGAGGCCCTGCGACGCCCGGCTGCGACTCCGCCCGCAGTCGCCCGCGGGGCGTCCGACCGCCCCCCCTGGGGGGCCGCGGGCCAGCAATGCAGAGGCAGGACATCGAAGCCATCCGCCAGCTCGTCGAGAAAAGTCCCTTCGCACCCATTCGCCCTCCTTCCCCTGTCAGCGAATCCACCCGAGTGGACGACGAACCTCGCCCGCGCCCTCCAGGGGCCCGGGCCGCGCCAGAGAAGGAGACTTATGATCTGGCGACAGAAGCGGTGTCGGCGAACGTGCGTGCACCTGGTGCGACCGATGGTATTTCCACATCTGGCGATGGCGCGGCGGCAGATGGGGGCGCGCCCGTGAGCGTGGGCGGGCGCGGGTCCGAAAGCGAACGCCAGCGAAACGGGCTTGTCCCCGCGCACCTCAGTGCAGCGTTCCTCTCTGCCCGAGCTGCCAGAGGCGATCCGGCCCCTGCCTGGCGGCCAATTGCGCGGCCCGCGCCAGCCCGCATGGCCCCGCCGGGCGCCCCTGCCCCAGCTGCCGCCGCGCCGCTCGACGCCGTGTGCGGCTCTTGCGGCGGGCCCGTCCAATTAACCTGCCAGGGGCAGCGGGGCTGGTTCGCTGGAGACCTACGACCAGAACGCGTGGCAGCGCAAACAGCAGGACCAGAGGCGGGCGCAACCGAGTAGAGAACCAGAGCAGCATTCGGAGCAGATGCCGGAAGAGCCCGCTGAACAGGAGCTGCCCGCCGCTCACGGGGCGGGCGCGGAAGTGGCGCCAGCGCAGGACTTGGGGCGCGGACAGGAACAGGAACGGGCAGCCGCCCGCCGCCGCGCTCCCCTGGCTGCCACTTCCAGCCCCGGTTCCTCCCTCTCCGGCAATGGCGCGAGCTCGAGCGCCGATGGGCGACGGCAGCGCGGCCAGCACGTGCCCCCGGCGCGTCTGCCTTGCAGCGGGTGGGCGCCCTGCCTGGCTTCCGCGACCGGAGACTTTCCAGTCTCCCCGCTGCCCTCGGGTCGAAACCTGGCCCCCGGCGACGCCGACCGCGCCGGCGGGCCCGGCAGACGGCAGACAACAGGCGGCGGGCGCGCCAGCAGCAGCGGCAGCAGAAGCAGCAGCAGCAGCAGCAGCAGCCGCCGCGCCGAGGACCAGCCGCTGATCACCCCGCCTTTGGTAACGGGGCCCGCCGCGCGCCAATGGCCAGAACCCTTGGGCCCCGACACGGGGCAGCAGTTGTATGAAGCTAAGGTCGGCGGCGTCCAGTGGGGCCCCCCCGGGGAGACACCTGGCAAGACGATGGGGCGGCTTCGAACCACCTTTGGGGCGATGTCCACGGGCGCCCGGCGCGCGCTCGCTGAGCGGCATGCCGCGCCTGGCAGCCGAGGCGCGCTCGACCCGCTGCGGCGCGACCAGCAAACTTGCGTCAACTTCTTGTCCTCCTCCCGCAGCCGCAACTGCGACGCGCGGGCCGTGGGCGACGCGCTGGACCTCGGCGTTGGCTGGGCTCAGCTGCGGCATCGGTGCCTGGGTGGAAGCGACGGCGCGAGCGGGGGGCGCCGGGCGGCGAAGGGCCGCGCTGACAGCCGCGCACCCGGGAGGGGCGAGAAACAGGGGAAGGTCGCCACCTAAAGCTCTGCGGGCGCGCCCGCCATCGTTTCGCACAAGTCTGCCGCCGCCCCGCCCTTTCTGCCCCTCGCCGCCCGCTGCTCGCCGGCGGCCCTGCCGCCCCTCGCCGGCTGCTCCGGGTGGCTGCGGCAGCTGGGGCGGCTCGCGCGCGTGCCCCCGCCAGCGCCGCGGGCGCAGCTGACGCCTTCGGGCGAGTCGGCGCAGTCTGTGATCGCTGGCCCGCGCCGCTCGCCGCCCGCGCCACCCCGTGCCGACGCTCCTTGCGTCCGTCGGTGCCAGTGGTGCGTGTGTCATAGCTGTTTCACCTCTGGCAGGGTGCTGCCAGCCCGCAAGCCCCTGCCCTCGCCGGTGGCGCTTGCTCTTCCCGCCACCCCTGGGCCTTGCGCGGCGCAAAGGTGCATTCCGGGGTGGTGGCCCTGCACCGCCCTGCTTGCCATCGCCGCCTCCTGGGGCCCCTCGCTCCTTCCGCCCCTCCTCAGGCAGCCGGGCCCGCGGCAGCCTTGATGGCCCTGGCTTCCTGCCCCCCCCTGCTCCGCATGCCCAACTTCCTCGTTGGCGCACGGGGCCCCCGAGTGCGCGCGGTCCAGCCTGTGCTCTCCTGACCGTCGGCCGACTGTGTTGACTACGTCCACTGTTCCTGGCTGCGGTGTCCACGGCACTTTCGTGTTCACTCGACCACGTGCTTAAGGCGTGCACCTGCCCAGTTCCTGGGCAGTTCTCCTCAGATGTCGACGAACTAGTTCGGGGGTGCACGTGGTTTCCTTTGATCCGTTATCTCAGGTTCTGTGCGGTGTTGATCACATCCATCGTTTCCCTGCTGACTCCGCTGTGCCGTGCGTGTTCGCTCTGTTCACGGTTGGGCGACAAGTGCCCGGATCAGTGTTCCCTTCAGGAGTCTCGTTGTGTGCGACTTTTGTGGCGCCACTCACGTGCACTAGTTTCCTGGTCAGTGAGTTCTTCCTGGCCTAGCTTGTGTCAGCGTTCCTTTGTGCTGGGGCCCTTGGCTACATCCTGGTATCGCTCCCGCGCCATTTTTTGGCTGCGTTCCAACTTCGGCTGGCTAACTATGCATGCGCTCGCTCCTGGACCTGGTTCCTGGCAGCTGCAGCCCGCGCCACCTCGCGCAGCCCGGTCAGCTTGGTGCTGCTTAGGCCGCCGGTTTGTCGGCGCCTTATGAAATTGGGTTCGCGCGTAGCGCGCCCGATTCTTGACGCTGCTGGCACGCTCGCCTGCGGCCGCGACGGGAAAAGTATCCCCACCAACCCATGCAGAAACGATGTCTAGGCGATTTGAGAGGTGATCAGGGAAGTGCGGGAGCAAAGAGGGGGGCGGCCGAACCGTGTGAAGGAGAGGGGGTGAAAGAGAACATTGGATGGATGGATGCGGGAGTAGGGAGAAGGAGGATGAATAGGATGAGGAGGAGGAGGATGAGGCGGAGGGGGAGGAGGAGGATGAAAAGGGATAGGATGAGGAAAAAGGAGGAGGAGAGCAAGCAAAAGGGCCAGAGGTCTCTTGGATGCTTCTCGGAACTTCTCGGGGTATCTCCTGGGCGCCTTGGGACGTCTTGGGGGTCTGTTGGCGGTCGTGGGGGGCTCTTCGGCGTCTTGCGTGCCTCGGGGGGGCCTCGTGGGGCCGCTTGGGGTCCTTTTTGGGGCCTCCTGGGGGCCTCTCGGGGGCCTCTTGGGGCCATCTTGGGCCCATCTTGGGACCTCCTGGGGCCTCCTGGGCGCTTCTTGGGGCCGTCTTGGAGCAGATCGATCAAACAAGAGGGGAGCTCTAATTAGGGTCCCCCCCAAGAGGCCAACATGGGGCCAACACCTCAGTAAAACCAGTGATTTTGGCTTCCTCGCCGAGGCCGTTTTGGACGCTCCGACACCTCGCGGAACCCCGTGTCCAGATCCATGGGGGGGTAAGAGGAGGGGCAAACGCCTCCCCGAAGAGGAAGAAAGAGGGGAAGAAGAGGAAATTCCTCAAACCACCTACGCCCAGAGGGCTGGTGGGATTACCACCCCAGTTGGGGGTGCACCCCTCGAAACCCGAAGGGCACGGCCTATATCCCCACCTAGGGGGGGTAAATCGGCCAGTGGGACCCAGGCCACGCCGCTGGGGATGGGGATCGGTTAAACAAGGGCGCCCTCGAGGGCGCGAAGTTATTCGCGCTTCGCGCTTCGCGGTTCGGCTCCGATCCCTCATCCTCCTCTTCTCCCCTGGGAGGCGGCGCGAGAGCGCGAAGTTATTCGCACTTCGCGCTTCGCGCAGCGCGAAGCGCGAAGTTGGGAGCCCTTGTTAAACGAAGCTCAACGCCCCCTGGCCCCCCCACACTCGCTCGCGCACGCGCCTCGGGCCGTGATGCGCTGACCCATGAGACGGGCGGCCGGGGCCAGGAACGCGAGCACGAGGTTCTCGAAGGCCTCGAGGGAGCTGGACCAGGACGGGTGCCTCGAGAAAGGGGAGGAGGGGGAGAGGGAGGAGAAGGAAAAGGAGAAGGATGATGATGATGATGATGATGATGATGATGATGATGATGATGATGATGATGATGATGATGATGATGATGATGATGATGATGATGATGATGATGATGATGATGATGATGATGATGATGATGATGATGATGATGCTGATGATGCTGATGATGATGATGATGATGATGATGATGATGATGATGATGATGATGAGATGATGATGATGATGATGATGATGATGATGATGATGATGATGATGATGATGATGATGATGATGATGATGATGATGATGATGATGATGATGATGATGATGATGATGATGATGATGATGATGATGATGATGATGATGATGGAGGAGGAGGAGGAGGAGGAGGAGGAGGAAGAGGAGGAAGAGGAGGAGGAAGATGAGGAGGAGGAGGAGGGGAGGGTGCAGAGGAAAGGGTGGTGATACTTGGGGGAAGGGCGGGAGAGCGGGCCCGATTCGCGCCTGGTAACATCAGCGCCAACCCTCGCCCCCCCCCCCCTCTCTCTCTCGCTCTCTTTCCTGCTCGTCTACGTTGGTTGGGGTGCGCAGCTGTTCGGCGTTCGGCGTGCGCTTCCGCACGAGGCCCGCCGCCCTCATCGAGTGGTCCTCCCGCGCCCTCGGTGTTTTTTGATCCCCCGACAGGCCGATGCGCCGCTATGGTGGTTCGAGAAGAAGGCGGCCTCGGAGATGGGTATGCGACGACCGATCCGCTGACAGATCGCTTGTGCGCGGGCCCGTCCCCGAGAGGTTCCGCGCTGTGGAATTGAGCCCTCGATCGCCGACAACCTCTGGTCGAGCTCGGGTCCCTGCCGCCGCTCCCGAACTGCACGTCGCTCTCAAAGTACTTGCGCGGTGCATTGCCAGATCGGTGGCCACGTGATGCTAAGCTCTGGCTTGTACCCATCGGGCCGAAGCTCTGCAGGCTTGCCACATCTGACCTGTGTGCTCTCACAGCGGAGGGACAAAGAAGACATCAGCGTCACAGTCGTCATGGAGACCGTCAATAGCCCACTCCATCGCAGCGAACGCTGTGCCAAACTAGTCTGTTCTCCGCCCGCATGTGCTTGCTTGGGCTAACCAGGTCCAGTGGCCCATTTCTGGCCCTGCTCTCCGGATCCACACTGCGCCTTCTCGGGCCGTCTTGGGTCGTCCAGATGCTGTCAGGGGGCCGTCTTGGAAGTGTAGTGCGACCGTGTTGGGTCCCTCGAGGAACATCGAGCGGCATAGACAAGAGATCCCCCCCCCTGGAGGTGCCGTTGCGCGCTCCGCGCGGACCTCCACGAAGTTATGTCTATGTTGTTACCAATCGCCTCGCTCATTCCGCCAGCCCCGTAGTGTATCACTGGTGCCATATGTCGGTGTGCTAGTGGCGAGCGAAGGAGGGGGAGGAGGAGGAGGAGGAGGAGGAGGAGGAGGAGGAGGATCAGGAGGAGGAGACCGCTCGATGGCTTCTCGGGGCGTTCTTGGGGCTAAACTGGGTCGTTGACAAGACGCCTCTTTGGGAGGCTTCGTCTTTTCGGAGGCCTCTCGAGAACCTCTTGGCAGTATTTTTGGGACCTCCTGGGGCCTCTTGGAGCCTCGTAAGGGGGGTCTTTGGGCTCTCCGAGGAGCCTCTTAGGGGCCTCTCGGGGGCCCGCTGATGGTCTCGGGGACCATCCACCTTTCGGGGAAGGGTTCGATACATCAGTTCGGAGTCCCCCTCTTGGGGTCGTCTTCGGAGCCTCTGGAGCCCTCTTGGGAGTCCTCTTGGGAGGCCTCTTGGGCCGTCTGGGGCCCTGTCGGGCCGTCTTGGGGCTGTCTCGGGAGCTTGTTGGGCTGACTTCGGGCGATCTTGGGGTCCTCTTGAGCCGTCTTGGCGGTCGGAAGCCCGAAAAGCCGGTGACGCCTAAATCCTTCCAAAACCTGCATGGCATCAAATGAATTTAGCCCCTGGGGCCCTTTTGTGCCTGCCTGGGACCATCTTGCGGCTATCTTGAGGCCTCTTGGATTTGTTTTCGGGCCATCTTGAGGCTTGCCACCTACTGATCGTTCCTTTGGGCGCTCTGGGGGCGATCTTGAGGGCCCCGAATATCGCCCCCAGGAGCTCTGGCATCCGTGATCCCGACCGCCCAGGGATCGCCTGGGGACCGCCCGGGTTTTTGCTGGGTATTGCCCAGGGGCCCCCAGGGGTCGCCACGTGTGCGCGAAGTGGATAGAGATTTCAGTACGCCTCTGGCCTGTTGGGCTGTCGACTTCTTCTTCTTTTCCCTCGTGGGCTGCACCATGTGTGAGGGGACTTCCTTGGGCCGTCTTGGGCTCTTCATGGGGGGGTGCTTTCGACTGACGCATGTTGGCCCGACGGTACCTGCCACTACTGTTTGCCAGGTTGGCTGGTTAGTCCAGAAATATTGGCTTGGACGCTTCACTGACTGGCTGGAGCGGGCGAAGGTACCTGTGCGGTTACCCAGCCGCTGGAGCGCCAGAAGATAGTTGTATAACCATCGCAGATGCGTGGGGCTACACATGGCCAAGCGAAGAAATACCCCAAATTGCCCCCGAATGCACCAAATTCACACGGGAACTTTCTGGAAGGGTCAGGGTGTGATGGCTCATGAGCGTCTACCAATACGAGACCGATATAGGTATTTCGCGTCGTGTTTCAGCACGACCGTGCATGTCTGCTTGTCCGCTATCGTACCACAGGCCCTAGGCAACCCTGATCTGAAAGCCTTCCTACCTCGACCACCTTCATCATGGATCCGGTGGCAAAAAGCATTCCCGGAGAAGGTCCCGAAACCCCAGCCGCTTGGATTCTGGTAAGGTTTTCGAATTCGTCGCGTGGCCTCTCCCGAGGCCCCGGGACGCATCCTTGAGGTCCCTGACCGCCGTGCCACAGGACGGTCCGCGCTGCAGTCCCGGAGCCTTTTTTTGGGGGCGAGGCCAGCTGCAGAGGCCGACCTCGTCCGCAGGCCTTTCGCGCAGTTCACCGACCACACTTCTCACAACCGAGTCGGAGTGCTGCTGACCGCTATTGCCACCATGCTTTCTGTGCTCAAGCGACCGTTGTCAGCGCCGCTGCTATCTTCACTTCCATAACAACCGTTTTGCCATCATTGCGAAGCTACCACTGACATATTTCCACTTCCACGTCGACTACCAGCCATCATCATTACCACCCCCACTACCCACCACCACTGCGAATGCCGTCGCGAAGACCATTACCAATCCAGTTCGTACATTTATATTGCTTATCCTCCTATTTTCTAACATTTCCGACGAGTACTACTGCAACGCTTACTGCTCCTCCTCCTCCTCCTATTATTTCTACTACTACTACTACTACTACTACTACTACTACTACTACTACTACTACTACCTACTACCTACTACCTACTACCTACTACCTACTACCTACTACCTACTACCTACTACTACTACTACCTACTACCTACTACCTACTACCTACTACCTACTACTACTACTACCTACTACCTACTACTACTACTACTACCTACTACCTACTACTACTACCTACTACTACTACTACTACTACTACTACTACTACTACTACCACCACCACCACTACTACTACTACTACTACTACTACTACTACTACTACTACTACTACTACTACTACTACTACGACTACTACTACGACTACTACACTACTACTACTACTACTACTACTACTACTACGACGACTACTACTACTACTACTACGACTACTACTACTACTACTACACTACTACTACTACTACTACTACTACTACTACTACTACTACTACTACTACTACTACTACTACTACTACTACTACTACTACTACTACTACTACTACTACTACTACACTACTACTACTACTACTACTACTACTACTACTACTACTACTACTACTACTACTACTACTACTACCTACTACCTACTACCTACTACCTACTACCTACTACCTACTACCTCCTACCTACTACCTACTACCTACTACCTACTACCTACTACCTACTTACTACCTACTACCTACTACCTACTACTACTACTACTACTACTACTACTACTACCTACTACCTACCTACCTACTACCTCTACTACTACTACTACTACTACTACTACTACTACTACTACTACTACTACTACTGCACCTACCACGACTACCTACTACTACTACTACTACTACTACTACTACTACTACTACTACTACTACTACTACTACTACTACTGCTACTGCTACTGCTACTGCTGCTACTACTACTACTACTACTACTACTACTACTACTACTACTACTACGTACTACTACTACTACTACTACTACTACTACTACTACTACTACTACTACTACTACTACTACTACTACTACTACTACTACTACTACCTACTACTACTACTACTACTACTACCTCTACTACTACTACTACTACCTACTACCTACTACCTACTACCTACTACCTACTACCTACTACCTACTACCTACTACCTACTGCCTACGACCTACGACCTACGACCTACTACCTACTACCTACTACCTACTACTACTACTGCTACTACTGCTACTACTACTACTGCTACTGTACTACTACTACTACTACTACTACTACTACTACTACTACTACTACTACTACTACTACTACTACTACTACTACTACTACTACTACTACTGCTACTTCTAGGCCGAAATGAATGGCGGGGACGCGTGCGGACTGTGCCACTGGGACCTTCGGCGGAGCTCCTATGGGGCCACGAAACGTGTGAGGGGTGTGCCGAAATGAGTGGCGGGGACGCATGCGGACTGTGCCACCGGGACCTTTTCGGCGGAGCTCCCTATGGGGCCACGAAACGTGTGAGGGGTGTGCCGAAATGAGTGGCGGGGACGCATGCGGAATGTGCCACTGGGTCCTTCGGCGGAGCTCCTATGGGGCCACGAAACGTGTGAGGGGTGTGCCGAAATGAGTGGCGGGGACGCATGCGGACTGTGCCATCGGGACCGTCGGCAGAGCTCCTATGGGGCCACGAAACGTGTGAGGGGTGTGCCGAAATGAGTGGCGGGGACGCATGCGGACTGTGCCATCGGTACCTTCGGCGGAACTCCGATGGGGCCACGAAGCGTGTGAGGGGTGGGCCTGAATTCGTGGCGGGGACGCATGCGGAATGTGCCACTGGGTCCTTCGGCGGAGCTCCTATGGGGCCACGAAACGTGTGAGGGGTGTGCCGAAATGAGTGGCGGGGGATGATGATGAGAGGAGGGGAGGGGGGAGGAAGAGGAGGAGACGCGGGGACCGTCTCTTCAAAACGAGGGCCCAACACCACAGGATGGTTGGGAATAGGAACCCAGGAAACCTTTGAGGGCCCCAAATCGTTGAATACCTAAAGGAAATTACTGATTCTACAGGCTTACGCCACATCCGCCGACCCCTTTTTTCAGTGGCACTGTTGTCATGAATTCTGGGTAAGCCGCGGCATATTCATTCCGTTATGGCGCTGGCACAGGGAGAAGGGGGGCCGAAGAGCCGTTTTGGGGCCGTTTGGGGCCCCCTTGGGGGCCTTTTGGGGCTTCTTGGGGGCGTCTTGGGGGCCTCTTGGGGCCTGTTGGGACCTTCTGGGGCCGTCTTGGGGCGGAAGGCTCGAATTGTCGGTTCAAGCTCCCCCGCTTGGGCCCGTCTTGGGGCCGTCTTGGGGCCCTCTTGGGCCGTCTTGGGGGCCTCATGGGCCGTCTTGGCGCCCTCCTGGGCCGACTTGGGCGCCTCGTGGGGGCCTCTTGGGCCGTCTTGGGGCGGTCTTGGGGTGCTCTTGGACCGTCTTCAACGCCGTAAAGGCCGACAAGTCGTATATGATGAAAATGTACGTTCTCCCATAGGAATTTGATGATTTTCGGCTCTTCGGCCCTTCTGAGGACTGTTCTTGGAGGCCTCTTGGGCCGTCTTGGAGGCCTCTTAGCTCGTCTTGGGGCCATCTTGCGCGTCTTGGAGCGCTCGTTTGGCGTCTCGGGGCCCTCGTGGGCCGTCTTGGAGACGTCTTGGGGCCTTCTTGGCCCGTCTTGAGCTCCTTTTGGGTCCAAAAGAGCCCGTGAGTCGCTCGGGCCGGGCGAGGGGGGGGGGTCGAATCGTCGGTTTGGGGTCCCATGGGGGGGGTGAGGGGGGGGAACTATCTCACACGCCTAGAGACCCACAAGGGGTCGGCGGATTTCTGCGTTTCCACACTTCCCCTTCTATACGATTCCGAGGCTCGAGCAGGGCCTCCAAGGGAGTCCCTGGACGCAAGAAGCGACCAA